TGAAATTTTCCACATCTATTATTTCCTACTGGCTATTGCTGAAAGCTGTTGAAAATTTTCTATTTTTCCATACAAGATCTTTTTTGAAGTGAAGACGATAGCATGAGATTGCGATCAGTAGGCACTACATGGACAGATCTCAGACCGAGAAATATGCTGAAACGAATGCAATTAATTATTCTGCATTTTTCGGCATAAGATTGGTTTACCTTAAGTTCTTCTGTGTGTTACATATATTCGCACAAAATTAATACAATGTCAGGTATAAAGACATAAAGGTAGAGAGAGCCGTAAAGTTATCTATGAAATTCCGATATTGATCTAAATTTTAAATATTGCTTGCATGGTGGTGATCGAGAACATACTAGAGTTCAACTATTTATGTTGTATATCCATATTCACTTTTATAGGTTTGCTTTAACGAGTTTTGTGAAAAAATTGAAAAAAAGCGTTTGTGGTCGTAAAATTTGTATTTAAGATCTAAAAAAAAAAATATTTCATTTTTAGGAGAAGAAACAGAATTAAACCTGTAAGTACTTTTAATGAAGTTGTTTCCAATTTTTAATCAAAAGAGAACGGATTAAATTCAGCTGCTCCATTCAGTAAGTAGTATAGGCGGTTTATCAGCATGTAATTCCATTTGTCTTGCTAGCCATTGGCCATTGAAATGAGCGTACCATAAAACAAGCGTACCTACGAAAAAGAAGAAAAGAGGAAGTTGTTACGTCAACTTTTTTTTCGAGATAACATTAACTTACCGTTTTCGGGAGCGTTAGCGCGCATAAAAGGTATACGGAAATAACGATGCTATGCATCAAAGAATTTCTTTTCTTCGTTCATTTCATAAGTCCACATATAGAGCAAAGCAGCACACAGTTCAGTTCAATTCATTTCAGTGTTTTTAACGTTTTTGGGATGTGTGGTTAAGTCTTATCGCACAGAAGAAACAATCATCTTACGTTATCATTGGCATGTTGTAGAGCATTCCCCTTCAATGTCAAACTCGAGTATGCGAATTGCTCTCAGGAAGTGCTTTTTATACCCTTCACCATATGCGGTAACGGGTATATTAAACTTAAATGTTGCTCATGTCTTTATTCTGTTTCTCGGTGTATTAAGCTAGATACAACTTTTAAAAGACAATTTCTCTTCGCTCTCAGTTCCATCCGTTGATACTGGACCAATTATAAATATTGTGACAATACATCCTCAGGTGTAGAAGAGCTGTAGTCATACATTGCCATTGTAGAATAGGTCTGCTGTAAAGAAAATGGATAGTAGAAGTAGAAGCCTTTGTTCGGCAATTGTGCCAGAAGGCCATAACCAAATCCAAACGAATGGTTGGTTTTCAAAATAAACGGTTTCGTAATACGCGTAACAGTGAAATCCGGCTGAAAATCAATTTCAATCCGTTCGTTTTTAAATAGAACGGCGAACAATCAGCTATACTAAAACCGTGACCGGTACATGGCTGATCATCTGTAAATATTCCTTTTATCCAAATAGGTAATTCTCCAGAATTACAAGCCGTAAAGACGCATTTTGCCAGAAGCTGAAAAGCCAAAAACGAACATATAAATCAATTTTATTCTTATTGTTCATATGAGAATGTACCTTGTGTGCGACATCCACACCAAATAGTATAAATGTATGAAAAAGGTGATCCACATGAACAGCTCATTTTTACATATAGAAATCTATCGTTTGTCTTAACATCTTAATATTCTCAAAGACTAACTTTAATATGAACGAATGGTCAATAACGGGTCATCAACTTTGCACACTCACTCATGAAGTGTGTACTCAAGTGATTGTTCGAATCAAAAACTCTTTTGTATGGAATTTGTATTTTCTCAATTATATTGAATTTGTATACGGAAATTATTGAGTACGAATGAATATACACATTAATCTCGCATCGGTGAGGCTTTTTTAAAAAGACCTGTTGAATGATTGAGAACGAATATACGTTTATTCTCAAAGCGGCATAATACATGCAAAATTCTTGATAATTGTATACGTTTATTCTCAAAGCGGCACAATACATGCAAAACAAATGAGAACGAATATACGCATATTCTCAAAGCGGCACAATACATGCAAGCGCAATAGATAAAATTCGCGATTATAAAATTTCTTAATTTATTTTATTTTACAAGTTAGCCTAGACCGGCATAATTTTTTATTATCAAATTAAACAACGCCCTCAGTAAATTCCCTGTTGAAAGGCAAAGCACAGATTCGCTTATAATAAATAAAAAAATTGCCAAAAATGGTTGAGTGCCCAACTAGCAACTTAAATTGCCAGATCGTTTAATTTGCAAAGCCGCCAGCTTTATGTTTCACGTATTCTGTTAAAATTCATTGCAAAATGCGAATTGCCGTCAAAAAATTGTACCTTTGTTAAAGAATGAAAGAGTTGAAATGCAAAAAATTGACGTCAGAGTTAACATAACATTAACAGCTTGTTGCATTCCCTTTAGCGAATTTTTCACCCTATCATCTTTTGACTAATATTTCATTTCTAGGTGGCGCTGCGAATTTTAAATGGTTCTCATCCATCTAGTGTGGATTTTGATTTTGTGAAAGCACGCAAACAACAACAAGCAACAACGCTGGCATAGGCGTTTTAAACACGTTTAGTGGTTATGTTTAGATGAATCTCTATAATAAATTTTCAATTATTGTAAAGGACGCATCCCTTGGGAAGAAGCATATATATATATACTTATGTGGTAGAAGAAAACAGATGTTTTTCTCTTGTTTTTATTTTTGACAAAGCAAGTAAATGGTTACTTTAGAGAGGTTGATTTTTAAGCTTAGAGCGAAATGCTAATCAACCTCAGAGGAACAACACAAATGATTGAGATGAGAATCTCCGCTCTATATCATAAGGCAGAAAGAGAGCAAATGAGAACAAATAAAATTATTTTGAGGCGGTACCGTTAACAACGTATTTATAAGGGAAAATATTCCTACGACCAAGGCGTAGTATTACATTTTTTTCCGAATTTGTCAATCAGCTTTATATTTTCAAACAGGAAATAATTTACATAACTGCGGTGATTATTGGCGAAAAGACGAATTTTATCCATTAAACTTTGTTATTATTAAACGATTTTTACTCACAGTTTCTTTTTTTCTCTTAATTTCATTTCATTATCTCGTTTTCTTGTAAATCTCACTCTTTGTCAATGATGTTGCTTACGCTTAAATTAATGCACTTATTATACAGCTTTCATTAACTTACCCCTGCTACGAAAACATTCTGGTTTCAACTATTCACGAGGGAATCAACTGACTGACTGGCTTGCAAACAGACAGGCAGACTGACAGACAGACTGACTGACTGACTGGTTTGCAAACATACATTCCCGTTCACTAAAATCGGCATGTTATCTTTGGAAAATAACCTATTTTGTCTCACTTTTAATAAATTATAATCCGAAAATCACTTAAATCAATTCCGTGCAATTCATTACAATTGCCGAAGCTGAACAAATAGGAAGCCGCAGCCGACCTTAAGAGCCTTCTAAGATATCTCGTCCTCGTAAGGTTGCTTTTCTCGAGGTTATGTCGTAATATTTATTTCACATTTTTGTCTTCTAAAAATGGACCAGTAGGTGTTTGATGAATGTTTGGAATAACTGGTCACTCTCTGTGGATTTTTTATTAGTTAGTTGCTTGGAAAACCCCATAAAGTACGCAAATTCTTTTTTCAAATTTGGAATACACTTAAACATGTCCGCCTGTTAGGCTGTCCATCTGTCCTTCCGCCAAACATCTGTGGTAAACATTCGGGCGATAGATGAAGAAATGAAGATATCGCCCACAAATTTTCCAAGGACGTCCAAGGATGTCTACAACCCTCACACGCCTATGAGACAAAAACTTTTATTTCGAAAATAGAAAAAATCCGCCGCATCCATTATAGGGCATAAAAAATTCGGTCTTTTTTTTTTGGCTTTCTCAGGATAACGTTGATGGATATAAAAGATTCGGCAACAATCGAATTTGTTATTTTCTTACTTGTTATTTTTTCAGATCCATTTTACGATCTCAGTGACCAGTTCTTGACGTTCTTGGCTTTTTAGATCTCTCAAAGTTCAAATAATTGTTCATAAGACGTCTTTCAAATATACATTTATTACATATACATATATATTCGTGATGAGGGTGGTTCTTGTATTTTGCTTCTATACAGTTATCTATTAACAATTAAATGTTTTATTCGGTTATTGTGAAACATGAAACCATTATAATAATTAAATCATAATTGATTGCATAAAATTTTATTTCACAATTTCATTGAACGAATTGTTTGCGTGAGGAATTTCCTTCTGTGAGTGGTGATATTTATAAGCTTAAGACAATTGTTTGTTGTTAATGTAACTCATCTCTCAAGTTCTTTTTTGTTTTGTTTTTTTGTGGTTTTTTTTTTTTTTTTTTTTTTTTTGCTTTACTTAACGCTTAAAGAATTTGACTAGTTTGTGTGTGTATGTGTTTCTTTTTTTGCTTTTTCATACAATCTTTAAAAATTTCTCATCTCTTTTTCTTTTTTTTTTAATTTTGTTTTTTCTTTACGAATATTTAAATCCAATTGTTGATGCAAAGCCACAGTGTTAGTAAAAATATATAACAAAATTTTTTTAGTTAAGATATCTAAAGAGAAAATATTATTAATGTATATATATACATATACGTATATGTATATATATATATATATATATATAGAAAAAGAAAATGAAAAAAAAAAGTTTTAATATATAAACAAAATATAGTAAACTTTTTAACTTATTTTGTGATATTTCGGTTTTGAGTATTTTCAAGTGTATAATAGTTTATAGTTTATG